TTTACCCATTCATCAGCTGATGAACATTTCGGATGTTTCCAATTTTTGGCTATTATGCATAATGTTGCTACAAATATTCAGGTACAAGTTTTTTTTGTCTGACCTGCTCATATGCTTTTGTGTCTCTTGGGTACTTGGGTATTCCTAGAGGGAAATTGCTGAGTCTTATGGTAACACGAGTCAGCAATGTAATCTTTCACAGGGATCACCAGATTGTTTTTTACAGCAGTTGCCCCACTTACATTGCCACCAGCAATATATCAGGGTGTCAATTTCTCCACATCCTCACCAACATTTGTTATTGATTACTGCCTCCCTAGTGGGTGCAAAGTGGTATCTCTTTGTGGCTTTGATTTGCATTTCCCTAATGACTAATGATGTTGAGCATCTTTTCATGTATTTACTGGACTTTTTTTTTTTTTTTTTTTTTTTTGACACAGTGTCACTGTCTTGCCCAGATTGGAGTGCGGTAACACAATGATAGCTCACTGCAGCCTCAAAACTCCTGGGCTCAAGCAATTCTCCCACCTCAGCCTGCCTCCCAAACAGCTGGGACTACAGGTGTGCACCACCATCCCTGGCTGATTTTTTTTTTTTTTAAGTAGAGACAAGGTCTCGCTATGTTGCCCAGACTGGTCTTAAACTCCTGGCCTCAAGCGATCCTCCCGCCTCAGCCTCACCAAGTGCCGAGATCACAGCCGTGAGATACCGCCCCCAGTCACATTTATTGGCCATTTTTATATCTTCTGTCTCTATTCTAAATGTCCGCTCAGTTTCTTTGGCCATTTTTTAATTGGTTTATTTGTCTTTTTATTATTGAGTTGTAGGAATCATGGTAGATATTGAGCAAAAAGCTGATTGGAGCTGTGTTTGCCCAGAGGCAAAGTCTTATTTGCAAAGTCCCTGAAGTTTGGCCCCGGGCACAAAGCTCTGTCCTGCTGGCCTCATCTCAGTGCAGCCCTGCCCAGCAGGTCCACCTCCCCCAGGCTCAGGGACAAGCCCCAAACCCAAGCAACTCAGGACAACTCTCCTGTCACAGATGGGGAAACTGAGGCTCAAGGTGGTAAAAGGACTGGCTTAAGCTCTGGTGACCCAGGAGAGCAAAGCCAGGCTCAAGTTCAGATCTATCCTTTCTCTGCACAATTTCTCTGCACGTGTACATGCACTGCCTGGCTGTTTTCTGCTTTTATAGCGCACTTAACATCGCCTCTATTCTCACCATAACCCTGGAAGTGAGTCATGCAGACACCATTTCCCTCATTTTATAGAGGAGGAAACTGAGGCTAAGCGAGGCGACATGACGTTCACCAACCTCAAGGCCAGCAGGAGTAGGGGTCATGGTACCCAATCCAGGCACAACTGGCAGTGCAGTGGGGACCACTCTGGGCCTCAGCCCCAGGTCTAAGCCCAGTCGCATCACCTGGAGGGTCCACTTTTCTTCTGGCCCAGAGCCACCCCCACTCACCAGGAAACCGTAGCAGCCAGTAGTCCACTGGAAGACCTGGGCTATATGAACTTCCTCTAGAACAGCTCCACCCAGCACCAGCTGGGCCCTCTGGACTGGCACTCCCAGATCTGCCCAGGCCCTGCCCAACAGGCCCAGCCCAAGACCTTTGCTCCTGAAAGAAGCAGGACCCTGGTTTCCATGAGCCCCTGATACTGTTTCTTACTCTTCTTCTTTTTTTTATTTTTTTGAGATGGAGTCTTGCCCTGTCACCCAGGCTGGAGTGCAGTGGTGCGATCTCAGCTCCCTGCAACCACCACCTCCCAAGTTCAAGCGATTCTCCTGCCTCAGCCTCCAGAGTAGCTGGTACTACAGGCATGTACCACCACGCCCGACTAATTTCTGGGTTTTTTTGGTTCTTTTTTTTTTTTTTTTTTTTTTTTTTGAGATGGAGTCTCACTCTGGCATGCAGGCTGGAGTGCAGTGGCGAGATCTCGGCTTACTGCAAGCTCCGCCTCCTGGGTTCACGCCATTCTCCTGCCTCAGCCTCCCGAGTAGCTGGGAATACAGGCGCCCGCCACCATATCCGGCTAATTTTTTTTGTATTTTTAGTAGTGATGGGGTTTCACCATGTTGGCCAGGCTGGTCTTGAACTCCTGACCTCAGGTGATCCACCCACCTCGGCCTCCCAAAGTGCTGGGATTACAGACGTGAGCCACCACACCCAGCCATGTTTCTTGCTCTTCTATCACTCCAAGGCTTGGGCGTTTACAGAAGAGGGTACAGGCTGCCTGCACGCCTGTGATTTGAGATATGGAGGCAACCCCGAAAAACCCCAAGGCCCAGCTCAATGGGTCTCTCTTCTCTCTGGAAGAGCCCTTGACTCCTACAAGATGACCAAGCCCCCTTGACTCAGCACAGTAGCACCCCTTTATCAGTCATTTATGCCAGTAGGAAAGCCTGGGTAGGTAAGGTTGTAGGAACATGAGAAAGTCTTCCCTTCATTCAAGTCACTAAATCGACTCTCTCTTGAGTACCCAACACCATTCTAGGCAATGGGAATGCAGCAGTGAATAAAACCGGCAAAATTCTTGCCTTTTCTGGGACACTACAGATGTCCCAATGGAGTTGACATACTGGAACAGAAAGAAAGAAACAATTTAAAAATAGGCTGGGCGCAGTGGCTCACACCTGTAATCCCAGCACTTTGGGAGGCCGAGGCAGGCAGATCATGAGGTCAGGTTTTCGAGACCACCTGGCCAATATGGTGAAACCTCGTCTCTACTAAAAATACAAAAATTAGCTGGGCGTGGTGGCACACGCCCATAGTCTCAGCTACTCAGGAGGCTGAGGCAGAAGAATTGCTTGAACCCAGGAGGTGGAGGTTGCAGTGAACTGAGATTGCACTCCAGCCTGCACTCCAGCCTGGTTGACAGAGCGAGATTCCGTCTAAAAAAAAAAAAAGGCTGCGTGTGGTGGCTCACACCTGTAATCCTAGCACTTCGGGATGCCAAGGTGGGGGGATCGCTTGAGACCAGGAGTTCAAGACCCACCTGGGCAACACAGTGAGACCCCATCTCTACAAAAAAATGAAACAATTAGGTGGGTTTGGTGGTGTGTGCCTGTAGTCCCCGCTACTTGGGAGGCTAAAGCTGGAAGATTGCTTAAGCCCAAGAATTCAAGACTGCAGTGAGCTATGATAGAACCACTGCACCCCAGCCTGGGTGACAGAGCAAGACGCTGTCTCTAAAAAAATATATATGAATAAGTCATTGAACGTTCCCAACACACACAAAAAAAGTTTGAGATGATGAATATGCCAATTACCCTGATCTGATCACTATACATTCTATGTATTAAAACATCACTATATGCGCCACATGTATGTACAATCATTGCCAATTTAAAAAATTTTTAAGTACAATGAAACATAAATAAGAAAAATATAGAATATTGTCCGATGGAGTTAAATGCTAAGCAGAATATAAAGTATTAAAGGGGGACAGGCCATTGTGGGGTAAGAAACTGCAATTTTATTTTATTTTATTTTATTTTATTTTATTTTATTTCAAGACAGAGTCTGGCTTTGTCACTCAGGCTGGAGTGCAGGGGTGTGATCTCAGCTCACTGCAACCTCCACCTTCTGAGTTCAAGTGATTCTCTTGCCTCAGCCTCCCGAGTAGCTGGGATTAAAGGCATATACCACCACACCTGGCTAATTTTTGTATTTTTAGTAGAGACAGGGTTTTGCCATGTTGGCCAGGCTGGCCTCGAACTCCTGACCTCAAGTGATCCACCCGTCTCAGCCCCCCAAAGTGCTGGGATTACAGGCTTGAGCCACCGCGCCCCAATTTTAAATAGGGTGGTCAGGGAAAGACTCACTGAGAGCAAAACCTGAAGGCAGTTAGGAGTAAGCCATGTGGATGTCTGCAGGCATGTTCCATGTACAGGGGGCAGCAAGTGCAGGAACCCTGAGGCAGGGGCATGTGGTATGCAAGGGCTGCCCTGAGGGGAAGAGAGGGGATGGGGTTAGGAACAGCCCAGGCTGAATCTCCAAGGCCAAGTCTGAATGGCTCTGAGCTTGCTGAAGAAGGGGGAACGACTGTCCAGGTGTGTGAGCCAGGGCTTTGAGGGTAGTGTTTCTGACTTCCTAACTTTTTTTTTTTTTTTAAAGACAGGGTCTGCTCTGATGCCCAGGCTGGAGTGCAGTGGTGCGATCATAGCTCACTGCAGCCTCGAACTCCTGGGCGCAAGTAATCCTCCTGCCTGAGCCTCCGGAGTAGTAGCTGGGACTACAGGCACACGTCACCACACCTGGCTAGTTTTTAAATTTTTTGTAGAGACGGAGTGAGCCACCACCGTACTCTGTCCGGTCTGACTTCCCACTTTTGCCGAGATCGAACCTTTCACCACCATTTCATTAAGGTGTACCTCAGCCCTGACTAGGGCTCAAAGGGAGGGAGGACAGGGCTCGGAAAGGGAAGAGGCCTCAATGGGAGGAGGGGGGACTCCTGGGAGGGGAGAGCAGCTTAGCTAAAGGCATGCAGGCTCACGGCCAGCGATGGGAACTGGAGGGAGAGCTGCAGAGGAATTTGAGCTTAGTTAGGCTTAAAGGCACCTTTTGGGTACCTTTGCAGGCAGTCACTGGCTTCTGGGCCCAGCACCTCCTGGGCTGGACAACCCCACCGCCCGGACTCAGGCCGAGCCTGTGCGACGTGTGTGCCCGAGGGGCCGAGCAGCAGGTGCGCGGCTCCTGCAAACAGCCGCGGCCACGCCCACCGTGGCCCTCCCCGCCCCGCTGTTCCGGGGTAATTGGCAGCGCCCCCATCCCCACGCGGCCAGTGCCAAAAGCGCCCAAAGTGGTGAGAAGGGAGAAGCCCTGTCAAATTCTTTGGGATTTGCACCCCAAGCCCCTGACGCACCTCATCCTCGTTTTTACCCTGGAGAATTCATTCCCGAGCAGAGAGGGACAAGGACCGAGGGGCGGGGGCTGGGGCAGGTCCCGCCCTTCCTTGGCAACTCCCCTACCTCGGCGTTGCGGCCTGCGCGGGGCCAAGTCCTTCCTCCCAGAACGCTCGGTGAAGGTGGGAGGCAGGGGCCACGTCACTGTCCCCAGGCCCTGGAGAGCGCTGCTCCGCCCCTCCCGCCCCCAACGGAGCGCTGGGCACTTAGCTAAGACGCACCGGCCCCAGCCCAGGGCCAGCCCAGTCGCCGCCGCCCGCCCGCAAAGCCACAGGCAGGTGCAGGCGCAGCCTCGGCGCGAGTGTGTGGAGCCGAGCCGTTAGCGCGCGCCGTCGGTGAGTCAGTCCGTCCGTCCGTCCGTCCGTCCGTCTGTCCGTCGGGGCGCCGCAGCTCCCACCAGGCCCAGCGGCCCCGGCCCCTCGTCTCCCCGCACCCGGAGCCACCCGGTGGAGTGGGCTTTGCCGCGGCAGCCATGTCCATGGGCCTGGAGATCACGGGCACCGCGCTGGCCGTGCTGGGCTGGCTGGGCACCATCGTGTGCTGCGCGCTGCCCATGTGGCGCGTGACGGCCTTCATCGGCAGCAACATCATCACGTCGCAGACCATCTGGGAGGGCCTGTGGATGAACTGCGTGGTGCAGAGCACCGGCCAGATGCAGTGCAAGGTGTACGACTCGCTGCTGGCGCTGCCGCAGGACCTGCAGGCGGCCCGCGCCCTCATCGTGGTGGCCATCCTGCTGGCCGCCTTCGGGCTGCTAGTGGCGCTGGTGGGCGCCCAGTGCACCAACTGCGTGCAGGACGACACGGCCAAGGCCAAGATCACTATCGTGGCGGGCGTGCTGTTCCTTCTGGCCGCCCTGCTCACCCTCGTGCCGGTGTCCTGGTCCGCCAACACCATTATCCGGGAATTCTACAACCCCGTGGTGCCTGAGGCGCAGAAGCGCGAGATGGGCACGAGCCTGTACGTGGGCTGGGCGGCCGCGGCGCTGCAGCTGCTGGGGGGCGCGCTGCTCTGTTGCTCGTGCCCCCCACGCGAGAAGAAGTACATGCCCACCAAGGTCGTCTACTCCGCGCCGCGCTCCACCGGCCCGGGAGCCAGCATGGGCACAGCCTACGACCGCAAGGACTATGTCTAAGGGACAGACGCAGGGAGACCCCCACCTTCACCACCGCGAACTGGAGCGCGCACCAGGCCATCCAGCATGCAGCCTTGCCTCGGAGGCCAGCCCACTCCCAGATGCCAGGAAGCTCCCGCGCAGGACTGGGAGGGGGCGGCTTGAGGACTCCTCCCCAGCAGCCACCAATTTTCGGGCCAGGGAGTCGACTTCCGGGCCCAGGGACCAACCTGCATGGACTGTGAAACCTCACCATTCTGGAGCACGGGGCCTGGGTGCCCGCCAATACTTGACTGCCCCGTCGAGCCCCATCGGGCCGCTGCCCCCATGCTCGCGCTGGGCAGGGACCGGCAGCCATGAAAGGGGGCACTTGATATTTTTCAATAAAAGCCTTTCGTTTTGCACTCGCTGGAGCCTCCTTGTTCCGAGCGCCTCCATCTCCCTGCAGAGCGCCCCCTCGGGGCGGCCTTGGCTGGATCTCGCTCTCCCAGATGGAGCTTAGAGGGAAGGTGGGGTTGTAAGCTGAGCTCGGTGATCACGGAGTGGTCACTCGCCCACTCCCTGGGGATTCGGAAGACAGCCTGTGCGGCCAAAGCCAAGGTCCAATCTAGGAAGCAGGCATGCGCACTTCCAGCCCCTGGGTCTGTGCTGGGAGCCGACAATACCCCACTTATTCGTGGCTCGGGATGGGAGGGGGAAGGTGGCAGAGATGTGCCCCTGGGTCTGTGCTGGGAGCCGACAATACCCCATACACTGGGAATCTCCCGTGCGCCTTGTGAAAGAGCGCATTCCATACTGCCATTTCCTACTGGAAAAAAGAAAACAAAAAGACCTATTGTTTGGATAAAACACGCTACCAAAAGTAAAACCGGGCCAAATCTTCTCACCTGGGGGAGAGATGAGAAAGGGGCCCTATCTCCTTCCTGGGAACCTCAAGGGAGGGAAAGAGAGAGGACTTAGAAGGCGCATCTCAGAGGGGCTTGAGGCCGGTGCTCGCTGGCTCACTCCCAGAGGACAAGGTGGGAGGCTCGCTTGATCCCAGGAGTTCGAGACCAACCTGGGCTACATAGCAAGACCCCATCTCTACCATATATATATATATATGGCTGCGTATGATGGCATACACCTGTGGTCCCAGCTATTCAGGAGGCTGAAGCAGGAGGATGGCTTGAGCCCAGGAGGTCGAGGCTACCTGAGCTATGATTGTGCCACTGCACTCCAGCTGGAGCCAACAGAGTGAGACCCTGTCTCAAAAACACAATGACAACACACACACACACACACACCCAGAGGAGTGGTTGAGGTAAACAGTGTGGAGAGGCACTGGTGCCTTGGAGAAAACACAGGAGATTCAGGCGGGAAAAGGGGCCTGAGCCCAGCCAGGGCGACTTGGTGGGGGCGAGATTCAAATGACTGGATGGAACACCACCGGAGACAGGAAGTGTCAATGAAGCCCAGGAGTCCAGCAGAGGCCAAGTCGTGGAGAGTCCCGTATGTGGGATTACGAACTTTGAAACTTACTCTGGGTGTAAGGAGTCATGAAAGGGGAAGTACCTGGTCAGATACTTTTAACCTCTCTAGCAGCCCCTGCGGAACTGCGACTCAATGAGAAAGATAAAGGAGGGGAACCACCTAACAGGATATGCCGCCATCTTGGAGTGAAATGATGGTGGTCAGAAATTAGGCAGGGGCAGGGAGTGGGGACAGAACCTGAAGGGGGTTGTTAAAGTGGGCGGGACTCGGGAGCCATTTGGTTGTGCAGGGTGAGAGAGGCGAGAATCTAGCAAAGACTGGAATCTGGGAGTTTCTACCTTAGGTCACTGATTGGATAGTGGTACATTTACCAAAATAGGAGACCAAGTTTCTCAGGGAAGATGATGGGTTCCATTTTGAGTGTATAGAGTTTGGTGAGGCCAGGACGTGGTGGCTCACGCCTGTAATCCCAGCACTTTGGGAGGCCAAGGCTGGAGGGTAACTTGAGCCTAGGAGTCTGAGACCAGCCTGGGTAGCATAGTGAGACCCCATTTCTACAAAAAATTTAAAAATTAGCTAGGTGTAGTGGTGCATACCTGTAATCCCAGCTACATGGGAGGTTGAGGTGGGAGGTTTACTTGAGCCCAGGAGATTCAGGCTGCAGCAAGTCGAGACTGCACCACTGCAATCCAGCCTGGGCGACAGAGTGAGATCTTGTCTCAAAAAATAAATAAATAAATAAAAATAAAATAAAATAAATGTAGAGCTTGGCAAGCCTGGAGAACGTCCTGGCAGAGACGTCCAGGAAGTAGGATGACGTCTAGAAATCTCGTAAACCTGGAAGTCGTTAGCATAGGGATGGCAACCGAAACCAGGGTAGGGGAAGAAGTCAGTCTAGAAACTCACAGAACAAAAAGAGTTTCAAGGAGGTGGGCGTGGGCAACAGTGTCTGAGGCTGCAGGAGTGGTCAGGCAAGATGAGACCTGAGGAATAGCCGCGGAATTCACAGTAGCCAGGTGGTCATTGGTGGCCTTAGCGAGAGGCATGGAAACGGAAACACTAGATGGAAAAGGGAGTGGGAGGCGAGAGTTGAAACGGGGAGCTGTAGACAATGTGTGCAAGAGATTTGCATAGAAAAGGAATTGTGGCGGGGAGCAGTGGCTCACGCTTGTAACCCCAGCACTTTGGGAGGCCGAGGCATGGCCACGGTCGGGGATAGCTTGAGCCCAGGAGTTTAAGACAAGCCTGGCCAACATAGTGAAACCCCAGCTCTACTAAAAATACAAAAATTAACCAGGCATGGTGGTGGGCACTGTAGTCCCAGCACTTTGGGAGGCTCACTTGAGGTCAGGAGTTCGAGACCAGCCTGGCCAACGTGGTGAAACGCTGTCTCTATCAAAAAGATTAAAAATTAGCCAGATGTAGTGGCACATCCCTGTAATCCCAGCTACTTGGGAGGCTGAGTTCACTTGAACCCAGGAGGAAGAGGTTGCAGTGAGCTGAGATCGCACCACTGCACTCTAACCTGGGAAACAGAGAAAGACTCTGTCTAAAAAAAAAAAAGAAAAAAGGCCGGGCACAATGGCTCATGCCTGTACTCCCATCACTTGGGAGGCCGAGGCGGGTGGATCACAAGGTCGAGATCGAGACCAACCTGGCCAACATGGTGAAACCCCATCTTTACTAAAAATACACAAAAATTAGCCGGGTGTGGTGGTGGACGCCTGTAGTCACAGCTACTCAGGAGGCTGAGGCAGGAGAATCACTTGAACCCAGAAGGTGGAGGTTGCAGTGAGCCAAGATTGTGTCACTGCACTCCAGGCTGGCGATAAAGCGAGACTCCCTCTCAAGAAAAAAAAAAAAAAAAGGAGGGGGGAATTGTGGCTGGGGGCAGTGGTTCATGCTTGTAATCCCCGCACTTTGGGAGGCCGAGGCAGGAGGATCACCAGATGTCAGGAGTTCAAGACCAGGCTGTTCAACATGATGAACCAGTTGCAGTGAGCTGAGAGCTCACCACTGCACTCCAGCCTGGGCAGCAGAGCGAAACTCTGTCTCAAAAAAAAAAAAAAAAAAAAAAAAAAGAAAGGGACTTGTAGGTCAAACCAGCAACTTGAAGGGAAACAAAGATTGTACATGTATTTGGGCACTGGGGAGACTTGAATTTTTTTTTTTTTTTTTTTTAGACAGAGTCTCACTCTGTCACCCACGCTGGAGTGCAGTGGCATGATCTCGGCTCACTGCAACCTCCACCTTCTGGGTTCAAGCAATTCTCCTGCCTCAGCCTCCCAAGAAGCTGGGATTATAGGCGCATGCCACCACACCTGGCTCATTTTTTGTATTTGTGGTAGAAACGGGGTTTCACCACATTGGCCAGACTGGCATCAAACTCCTGATCTCAGGTGATCCGCCTGCCTCAGCCTCCTAAAGTGCTGGGATTACAGTACAGGTGTGAGCCACTGCGCCTGGTCTTTTTTTTTTCTTTTTCTTTTTTTTTTTTTTTTGAGATGGAGCCCAGGCTGGAGCGCAATGGCATAATCTCGGCTCACCGCAACCTCCGCCTCCCAGGTTCAAGCAATTCTCCTGCCTCAGCCTCCCAAGTAGATGGAATTACAGGCGTATGCCACCACGCCCGGCTAATTTTGTATTTTTAGTAGAGATAAGGTTTCTCCATGTTGGTCAGGCTGGTCTCGAACTCCCGACCTCAGGTGATCCGCCTGCCTCAGTCTCCCAAAGTGCTGGGATTACAGGTGTGAGCCACCGCGCCCAGCTGGACCTTTTTTTTTTTCTCCCTAAATTATTGTATCTCAAATGTTTTGGATACTGGGCCTGAAGGCTTATGTCTGTAATCCCAACTCCTTGGGAGGCCAAGGTGGGAGGATCATTTGAGGCCAGGAGATTGAGACCAGCCTGGATAATATAGCTAGGACCTTGTCTCTACAAAAAATTTAAAAGTTAGCCAGGCATGGTGGTGCATGCCTGTGGTCCCAGTTACTCGGGAGGCTGAGATAGGAGAATCACTTGAGCCAAGGAGTTCAAGGCTGCAGCAAGCTACGATTTCACCACTGCACTCCAGCCTGACTGACAGGCTGTCTCTAAAAACACAAACACAGCCTAGGCAACGTGGCGAAACCCCATCTCTACAAAGCATACAAAAATTAGCTGGGCGTGGTGGCAGGCCCCTGTAATCCCAACTAATCGGGAGGCTGAGGCAGGAGAATCGCTGGCACCCGGGATGCGGAGGTTGTATTGAGCTGAGATCACACCACTGCACTCCAGCTTGGGCGATAGAGTGAGACTCCATCTCAAAAAAAAAAAAAAAAAAAAACAGCCGAGGGTGGTGGCGTACGCCTACAGTTCCAGCTACTCTGGAGGCTGACATCAGAAGATCACCTCAGCCTAGAGAAGTTGAGGCCGCAGAGAGACACGATCACGCCACTGCACTCGATCCAGCCTGGGTGACACAGCAAAACCCTGCCTCAAAAGAAAGATAGATAGATAGATAGATAGATAGATAGATAGATAGATAGATAGATAGATAGATAGATATTTTTTTTTTGAGACGGAGTCTT